TTTTATTTTTTGAGACCTAGTCTCACTGTTGCCCAGCCTGGGATGCAGTGGTGCGATCTTGGCTCACTGCAACCACGGCCTCCTGGGTCCCAGTGATTCTCCTGCCTCAGCCTCCCGAGTAGCTGGGATTACAGCTGCCCGCCATCACACCTGGCTAATTTTTTTGGTATTTTTTAGTAGAGATGGGGTTTCAGCATGTTGGCCAAGGTGGTCTTCATCTCCTGGCCTTGTGATCCTCCTGCCTCGGCCTCCCAAAGTGCTCGGATTACTGGTGTGAGCCACCGCGACCGGCCTAATTTTTGTATTTTTAGTAGAGATGGGATTTCATCATGCTTGCCAGACTGGCCTCAAAACTCCTGACCTCATGTCATCTACCTGCCTTGGCCTCCCAAAGTGTTGGGATTACAGGTGTGCACCACTGCACCTGGCCAGTATGTATTTAATACAGTGTATGTCTTATACTGTATATGGTACGTAAATTATACAAATATATTGCATATGTTTACATTATACACCTTGATTTTTATATGCAGGCAGATCGTGAAATACTCACCTCAATCAACAGTTACCTTTTTCTTTTTTGTGGTGAGAACACTTAAGATCTACCCTCTTAGCAAATTTCAAGTATACATTACAATGTTGTTAATTATAGGGAGTTCTGAGTTTTCACTTCCTTGATTTTATGATGTTAGAATCTTTTTTTTGTTTTTGTTTTTGAATCAGGGTCTTGCTCTGTTGCCCAGATTGGAGGGCAGTGGTACAACCTCGGCTCACTGTAACCTCGGCCTCCCAGGCTCAAGTGATCCCCCAACCTCAGCCTCCTGAGTAGCTGGGACTACAGGCATGTGCCACGACATCCAGCTAATTTTTATTTTTATTTTGGTAAAGACAGAGCTTCAGAGTTTCGCCATGTTGTCCAGGCTGGTCTCGAACTCCTGGGCTCAAATGATCCTCCTGCCTCGGCCTCCCAAAGTGTTGGGCTTACAGGCATTGACACCCCGTGCCCAGCCAGAATCTTTTTTTCTTCCATGCTGATTCCTAATAATAATCATTATTATTTGCTACATTCGTAGTAGTTTTAGAATAACATTACTTGTATCATTATATTAAAGATCCACATTTCTTAGATAAAATACAGTAAACTCTGTGTTCTTTTCTGTACTTTTTTTTTTTTTTTTCAAGACAGAGTCTCACTCTGTGGCCCAGGCTGGAGTGCACTAGTGTGATCATGGCTCACTGCAGCCTTGACCTCCCAGGCTCAAGCGATCCTCCCGCCTCGGCTTCTTCGAGTGCTGGGATTATAGCCTAAGCCACCACACCTGGCCTCTTCTGTATTTGTAGAAGCTCTAGGGAAGTAGGGATATCACCCTTTCCTGTGATCTAGGTGGGAAGAGTTTCTCCAGGATGGTTGTAGGACTCTGGTCCCTGGTAGATGCTTCCTAAATGGTGTTTTCACAGTGGCCAAGCCCTGCCGTTCCTGCTCACCTTTGAGGTAGCTCTCTCTTTGCCCTAACTTCTCAGCTCCGGAGCACACATCGGCTGCACGCCAGCATCAGTGCAGCGAAGATGGCGTCTAAGCGCATCGCCCAGGAGACCTTTGATGCAGCTGTGCGTGAGAACATCGAGGAGTTTGCAATGGGGCCAGAGGAGGCGGTGAAAGAGGCCGTGGAGCAGTTCGAATCGCAAGGTAGGGCGGTGTGACTGTCACCTGCCATCCATGGCTCTTCGATGCGAGAACGGTGTAAGGATGCTACTGCCCTCTGGGGACTGCCACATGCCTGGCACAGAAACCAGGCACGCACTAGGCCTTGTCCCCTCCAGGCTGTGCCCAAGGCAGGCTGGTTATCCTGCTCCCACTTCTCACACGCCCTCTCTGTCCCTGCTTCCACCTCACCCAGATATTCATGGGCTGGATCCTTCTCATGAGTCTCATTTGATCACTTCCTTGAAGAGGCTTTCCCTGACCCTGGCCTGGGAAACAGGACCCCTGCCTCCCTGCCCCACTCTACCCCACCTTGAGCTCCAGAGGCAGAAGCAGGTGTTGGTTACCAGCCTGTGGAAACAGGTGGCATGTTGAAACCGAGCACGGAGGAGTGTGGCATGAGGGGCTGTTTGCAATGGTGTGGGCAGGGTTAGGAGACCACCCCAGCACAACTAGCCATGGCAGAGACCCTGACTGCAGGGAGCAGGAGCCCTGGGCGGGGGTCACCTGACAGGCGCTGGGCCCTGGGGCAGAGGCAGGGAGCTGGAAATGAACACCCCACACTCCCCTCCTCCAGTCCCCATCTCAAGTTCACTTCCGCATTGAACAAACCCACGGTCCAGCCTCAGAGGCCGGCCTCTCAGGCACAGTGCGGTGTAGATCCTAGGCAGGGCCAGTGGGACAAGCAAAAGCATCCAGGATGGCAAGGGCTCCCGTGGGGGTGCCAGCAGAGGCAAGAATCAGCCAGAACCAGGAGAGATGGGAGCCCCAAGGGAGAAGGCCATGGGGTCCCTCCCTTCCCTACCAAGCCCACCAGGCAGCATTGGCACCTTACCACACAGACATCATGGCCTGTCGCGATAGCCTTGCATGACAGCGGCCTCACTAGCACTCTGCTCCCTTTGGCTGTCCCATGGCCCAGTGGCAGAAGCACCCAATACCTTCTACCCCCTGTGTTGATGTGGCTTGGGCGGGAATGGGCAGGTGGGAGGCTTCTGGCTTGGGGTGGTCTAGCAGAAGGGTCCTGAGGTGTGATTTCAGCACACCCACAGGGATGACAGCTGTCGCTTGCTTTCCGACCCCTGTGTGCTTACTCTCCCCGCGCCCAACAGGGGTTGATCTGAGCAACATCGTAAAGACAGTGCCTAAAGTCTCTGCAGATGGACCCCAGGAGCCCACACATGACGTCCTGCAGGTAGGAGTGGGCAGCCCACACAGTAGGTCCCCTGTCACCTGTGTCTGGGGGCACCTCTGCCCTGTTTCCTGGATGGCAGAGTGCAGGCTCTGACGGTCAAGGCCTGCCCAGCGTGTCCAGGCAAGCTTGTTTGCAGCCAGGTTTCCCTGAGTCCATGTCTGAGGGTGGCATGCCCTCTGATGCAGGGGACAAGCTTCGCAGGTGGCACGCACACTGAAATCAGCTGGACGGCTTGCTTGTCCCTGATGCTGGGAGCCCAGCGTCAGGGACGCCATAGAGAGGCCTCTCTGGCTTTCCAGAGACAGATGGACAGGAATCAGAGGACGAGACAGTGGGCTCACAGTAAGGCTGTCACTTACTGAGCACCGACTGTTACTGGCACTTTCCACCCAGTCCGTTAGCACTGAAGCTCACCTGTGAGGTAGGTGGTGTCATTCCTGCCTTCGCGGCGGGGAAACAGGCCAGGAGCTGACACTTACCTCTCCAGAGACCCGACAAGGAAGGTAAAAGAAGTCCACTGCGACCTTACGGTCGCCCATCAAACTCTGTAGGACAGCAGAAGGTTCCAGCGTCTGAACCAGCTGTGGGTCTGCTTCTGTGCAGGGTGCTTTCTCCCTGCCTTCCCAGTCATTGTTCAGACAGCGCGTGCAAGGCTGGGATCTCCCCGTTGTACAGATGGGGACGTTGAGATCCAAAGAGAAAAAACGTCATTTACCCGGGAGCTGGAGGTGCAGTGATCGGGGAGGAAGCTGGAAGAGACAGCTCTGGGTATAATTCCAGCTCGCCTAAGGCGTGAGACTGACTTCTGTCTACCTCAGGGTCCTGGCCTCTCCTGGCTTGAGGAGGTCTTGTGAAAATTGCCTCGTTGTTAGTTTCCTTTTTGCCTTTCTTGCCTAATAAGGATTGATTTATTTTGTTATTTGTTTATTTTTTGAGACAAAGTCTCACTCTGTCACCCAGGCTGGTGTGCAGTGGCTCAATCTCAGCCCACTCAGGCATGAGCCACCATGCCAAGCTAAGAATTTTATTTGTAGTTTACACACCCCTGCTAACATGGTAATTCCTTGTGAAAAACTTGGTAGTTCTAACTCCAGTACGGTGCATTCTCAAAGGCATTTCTGTCAGGAGCTTTTCAAGTTTCTTGGAGGATTTCTGCTGAAATGCTACACGGCTGTTATGTAAAATATTCATAAAAACATTTACCATTGTAACCATTTTTTTTTTTGAGACGGAGTCTCACACTCTTACCCAGGCTGTAGTGCAGTGGTGTGATCTTGGTTTACTGCAATCTCTGCCTCCTGGGTTTAAGCAATTCTCCTGCCTCAGTCTCCCAAGTAGCTAGGACTGCAGGCGTGTGCCACCACGCCCAGCTAATTTTGTATTTTTAGTAGAGATGGGGTTTCACTATGTTGGCCAGGATGGTCTTATCTCCTGATCTTGTGTGATCTGCCCACCTTGGCCTCCCAAAGTGCGGGGATTACAGGCGCCTGCCGGGCCCCATTGTAACCATTTTTAAATGTATCAGTATCATTAAGTACATTCACAATGTTGTGCAACCATCACAACCATCCATCTCATCTTGCAAAACTGAAACAAACTCTTTGTTCCTCTTCCCCTCAGTTCCTAGCAGCCACCATTCTACCTTCTGTTGCTGTAAGTTTGACTACTCCAGGGACCTCATATAAATGGAATCACGGGCCGGGCGCCATGGCTCACACCTGTAATTGCAGCACTTTGGGAAACCGAGGTGGAGGAATCACTTTGAGATCAGGAGTTCGAGACCAGCCTGGCCAACATGGTGAAACCCCGTCTCCACTAAAAATACAAAAATTATCCAGGTGTGGTGGCACATGCGTTAGTCCCAGCCACTCAGGAGGTTGAAGTGGGAGGGTTGCATGAACCTGGGAGGTAGAGGTTGCAGCGAGCTGAGTTGGCACCACTGCACTCCAGCCTGGGTTACAGAGGGAGACTCCATCTCAAAAAAATTTTATTTAATAAATGGAATCACAGTATTTGTCTTTTGATGACTTTTATTTCACTTAGCATAATATGCTAAAGGTACATCCATGGTATACTATGTGCCTGAATTCGTTTTGATTTTTTTTTTTTTTTTAGACAGTCTTGCTCTGTCACCCAGGCTAGAGTGTAATCGCATGATCTCAGCTCACTGCAATCTCCATCTCCTGGGTTCAAGTCATTCTCCTGCCTCAGCCTCCCAAGTAGCTGGGATTATAGGCACACGCCACTGCTTCCAGCTAATTTTTTTTTTTAATTTTTAGTAGAGGTAAGGTTTCACCATGTTGGCCAGGCTGGTTTTGAACTCCTGACCTCAGCTTCAAAAGTGCTGGGGTTACAGGCGTGAGCCACTGCACCCAGCCTACATGCCTGAATTTCTTCCCGTTTGAAGGCCGGATATGTTCCACTGTGTGAATAGTATTTGATTATTCATTCATCTGTTGATGGACACTTGGGTTGTGTCTACCTCTTGGCTCTCATGAATAATGCTGCTGTGAACATGGGTGTATAGGTATCTCCTTGAGATTCTGCTTTATTATTTATTATTAATTTTTTTTTTTTGAGGCAGAATCTTGCTTTGTTTCCCAGGCTGGAGTGCAGTGGTGCAATCTTGGCTCACTGCAACCTCCACCACCCGGGTTCAAGCAATTCTTCTGCCTCAGCCTCCTGAGTGGCTGGAACAACAGGTGTGTGCCACCATGCCCAGCTAATTTTTGTTGTTTTAGTAGAGATGGGGTTTCACCACATTAGCCAGGCTGGTCTCGAGCCCTTGACCTTGTGATCCTCCCACCTCAACCTCCCAAAGTGCTGGGATTACAGGTGTGAGCCACCACGCCTGGCCTGAGACTCTGCTCTCCGTTCTCTTGGGTGTGTCCCCAGAAGTGGAACTACCGGATCATACGGTAATTCTATGTTTGATTTTCTTTTTTTGCTCCGTGTGTTGCCCAGTCTGGTCTTCAACTCCTGGGCTCAAGCGATCTTTCTGCCTTGGCTTCCCAAAGTGCTGGGGTTACAGGCATGAGGCACCGCGCCTGGCTCCTCTGTAGGTCTGAATCGCATTTTCCCTAATGATTAGTGATACTGAGCATCTTTTCCTGTATTAGTGGCCATTCGTATATATTCTTTGTAGTAATGTCTATTCTAGTCATGCACTCTGATGTTAACTTATTTTTTTTTAGTTCGAATCCCATTTTAGCAAAAAATGTATTTTTTTAAATTTCCTATTGCATTGTTACCTACACTCAGGCCCACATATCTGAGCTCAGTGAGGATTATCAGATAGGCTTCTTTGTTTCTCACGTCTGTCAATGCCAAATCAAAGCCCTTTGGGCTGGTGGTTTCCGTAGAACCGCCCTGACTCAGTCTGGGCGCAGTTAATCTCACAAGCTCCAGGCTCACAGATTCATCTTTGGCTCATGCCAAAACATGCCCCATGGTCATGTAGTTGAATGGCAGCTAAACTTATCTGACCTGTGCAATGTGCTTTATTATTTTTTCCCCATTGGCTTAGAGTCAAATTTGGGTAAATCAGCTCTCTGTACAGTGTAACTGCATTTGGCAGGTGCTCAGTAAATGTCTGTGGAGTGAATGAGAGAGATGAAAGAAGACATCAGGATGGGCATGTCTGGTGAATGTGGCTTTCTCCTTCCTTGGGGAGCTGAGCACTGATGGGTGTGCCAGTTTGTTACGGCTGTGTGACAAGCAACCCAAAACAACAGGCATCTTATTGCTTCTTGTGATTCTGCCTGGTTGGGCTCAGCTGGACGGTTCTTCTGCTGGTGTTGCTTGGGGCCTCTTGATAGCAGGTAGGGCTGGAATGTTTAATATGTCGGCATTTATATGTGCAATCCCTCTATAGGGACACTGACTTGTCTAGTTGGTTGGGGTGTGTAAGTGTGTATGTGTGTGTGTGTATCTTCACCCTATGGCCTCTGAAACTCAAAGCTCCCTACGTCTGCATTTATATGTGCAGTCCCTGTGTAGGGACACTGACTTGTCTGGGTGGTTTTGTGTGTGTGTGCGTGCGTGCGTGTGTGTGTGTGTGTGTGTGTGTGTGTGTGTGTATCTTCACCCTATGGCCTCTGAAACTCAAAGCTCCTAGAAGCACAGGTCTGGAAATTGCCAGAGCTATAACTGGCCCCACATCACTTCCACTGCAGGCCCAGATTGCAGGGGAGGGAATCTTGCAGGGATCCAGACACTGTTGCTGTGACCCTGGGCTCCTGTTGCCTGAGCTGACACTGAGGTTTCTCCCATGTCTCCTAGACACTCAGTGACCTACAGGAGTCTGTGGCCAGCTCTCGCCCCCAGGAAGTGTCAGCACACCTCACCCGCTTCTGCGACCAGTGCAAGCAGGACAAGGCCTGCTGTTTCCTCGCAGCCCAGAAAGGGGCCTACCCCATCATCTTTGCTGCCTGGAAGCTGGCCACTGCAAGTGACCAGGGCCTTCTGCTCCAGTCCCTCAATGCCCTGTCAGTGCTGACTGATGGCCAACCAGACCTCCTGGACACCCAGGGCCTGCAGCTGCTGGTGGCCACACTGGCCCAGAATGCCAACGAGGCCGACCTGACCTGTTCTGGGATCCGCTGTGTACGTCATGCTTGCCTGAAACATGAACAGAATCGGCAAGACCTGGTGAAAGCCGGCGTGCTGCCCCTGCTGACTGGCGCCATTGTCCATCATGGCCACCACGCCAACGTGGTCAGAGAGGCCTGCTGGGCCCTGCGTGTCATGACCTTTGATGACGACATGCGTATGTCCATTAGCCACGCCCACAACCACGCCAAGATGATTGTGCAGGAGAACAGAGGCTTGAAGGTGCTGATTGAAGCCACCAAAGGTAGGAGTTAGGGGTCAACACCAGCCAGTGAATGAAGGTGGGCAGGCCAGCTGTGACCAGAGTTGGGGGTCAGCGCTCAGGACTGCTTCAGGCACAGCAGGCTCCAGGCTCCCCTCGCCTCTTGGGTTAGAGCCACCTCTAATGGCAGCCCTTGTGAAGAATGTCATGCTTTCTAGCCTGGAGAATTCCAGGCCAGCACTCATGGGCCAGGAACAGGTGACAATCCCATCTCTGGAGCTGTCTAGGGATAGGGCTTGCTGTGTCCACCTCCAGAGACAGAGAGGGGAAGGGGAAGCTCCCCAGAGAGAAATAAGAGGACCGGGGGAGGCTGGCTGGCACGCACCGTGGCAGTCTCAGATGGACGTGTGCACGTGTGATCATATTTAGCCAGAGATCCTTAGGCACATTCACGTGTCTTGCTCCAGGGTGACTGGCCCTGGGAGGTAACGGTGCTGACTGTGAGACCCTTAAGCTTCCGTCCCCACCCCTAGCCCCATCCCATCCACTGAACCCACCAGAAAAGTCCTGATTGGGGGCCAGCACACAGAAGGTGTCAGAGGGATGAGTTCCGCTTTCCTGCCTGCCCCGTGGCTCTGGGTCTGTGGCCGGGCCTGTGTGGGGGTTCTGGCTGTGTCTACTGAGGAGGTTGGCCCACCTCAGTCTCCCTTCCATACCTCCAGCAGGTCTGAAAATGGATCCTGACCATCTGCAAAGTCAGGCTGCTTTTCTGGGAGGTGGCCCACACCTTTCTTGTTTTATTTATAAGAGCTCCAATCAGGTTTCTACCAGAGAGACAGGATATGTATCTATGAAGGGACTTTTTGGTAAGGAATGGGCTCATGGCCGGGCACCGTGGCTTATGCCTGTAATCCCAGCACTTTGGGAGGCCAAGGTGGGCAGATCACAAGGTTAGGAGTTCAAGACCAGCCTGACCAACATGGTGAAACCCTGTCTCTAATTAAAAAATAATAAATAAATAAAGGAATGGGGCTCATGCAATTTGGGCTGGCAAGTCGGTACTCCGTAGGGCAGGCCAGAAATTCCTGGGCAGTCCCCTTCTCGGGCAAACTCCTTTGTTTGCTTCCAAGGACTTCAGCCGATTGCATGAGTCCTGTTCACATTGATCAGGGTCATCTCAGTTCAACTGGGCCGGGCATGGCGGCTCACGCCTGTAATGCCAGCACCTTATGAGGCTGAGGTGGAAGGTTTGTTTGGGCCCAGGAGTTCAAGACCAGCCTGGGCAACAGGACGAAACCACTTTTGGATTTGTAAAAACACAAAAATTGCTGGGCATGGGGGTGTGCTCCTGTAGTCCCAGTTACTTCAGAGGCTGAGGCATGAGGATCACTTGAGCCCAGGAAGCAGAAGTTGGGGTGAGCCGAGATCATGCCACTGCACTCCAGCCTAGGCGACAGAAGGAGACGGCACTCAGTAGTAATCATAATACTAGTAATAAAAGATAGCTGATTGTGGATGGTAACCATGTGGACAGAATACCTCCATGGCAACACCTAGGTTGGCATTGGGTGGAACTGCAGGGGCTACAGGTGGCCACAGGAACCGACTTTCACAGAGGCCTGTGTAGATGCAGGACCTTAGCCCTCTCGGCCTGAGTGCCACCTCTGCTTCTTGGCGCAGCGCCTCTGAGCTCCATCTGTGGCCTCTGCGTTCAGTTTTGCCCACGTCAGCCCGGTCCGTATGCATCCCTCTATGGTTTTGGAGTTTTCTGTTGCACTTAGAAAAACCATTCCTACCCTATGATCATAAAAATAGTCTCAGATGTCTTTTTTTTTTTTTTTTTTTTAATCGCTATTACGGTTTTTTTTTTTTAGGTGAGACCATCAGTTGGTGTGGTATTTTTTTAGGGCATGATGGAAGGAAGGGGGTGGAGGGGCACATTCTCAAGTCGTTCCAGCAGCCAGCAGGGGGCACTGCAGGCCCAGGCAGCCCCTGGTGGTTTTCCTGGGGCCTTCCTGGTGCTGGTGGCCACCGCAGTAGGCAGAAGGGCTGAACTCTTCCAGTGGAGCAGGGTCCCCACCAAACCAGAGTGCCCTGTGGCTGCTTCTTCCCGCCCCCACCACCACTGCCTCCTCCTGTCCCTGCAGCGTTCCTGGATAACCCTGGCGTCCTGGGCGAGCTCTGTGGAACCCTGTCCCGCCTGGCTGTCCGCAACGA